AAACCTACCCCCCAAAAAGAAACATGGGAGCTAAGATGTGGGTATGGAAGGTGACTGGGGTTTTGCTCTTAAAACTGGAGGTAAAAGGAAAAGGAAATACGGCATTCTCAGAGAGATGGCCTCTCAGGTTCAGGTCAGATATTCTTGGCTGAGCCACCCTTCTTTCAAGGGACCATTCTAACACTGAGGCTCCAGGGTTCCAAGGCATCTTGCCCCAAGGAGTCAGGAAAGAGGAGGCAGTGGGGAAGAAAACAGGTCTGTTTCCACTCAGAGTATTGCTGTCTTGTTTGGGAGCACAAAGGATTTGGTTCTGTCATTAGAAAACAAAACTAATGCCTGCAAGGTCTAAAAACCTGTCACAAGGGTGACCTGCAAAGGGGAGTCAGCATGGAAAATGACTGCTGTCAGCACCGCCTCACCCCTGCCCACTGTCCCATACTTTAGCAGGTTTTGAACACACAATCACCCTGGCTGGCTCTCACTGGGACAGAAGAGGCAAGAGAAACATTTTAAAAATAGCTACAGCCTGGTGAGCACTTGCTGTGTGCTAGGCACAGTGCCAAGTGCTGCTTGGCATACCACCCACAAAATCTCATGAAGGAGGGAGGGCCCAGCATCTCCCCATATGATAGAACAGGAAATGGAGCCTCAGGGAGATCCAACCATTCACCCTAAGTCACAGCCCAAACAGGCAAGGGCAGGATTCAATCACAGGTAGGTCGGAAGCCAGAACCCAAGCTCTCAACCACAGGTGGGATCTTGAGAGGTGAGCAGAGAAAAGCCCTCTGCCCCAGAGCTCAAGGTTAATGTCTAAACAGGAGAGCAGCCAACCGGGAGAGCTCAGGAAGTGGTTTTGTTTTGTTTTGAATTTCATTGAATTACCTAGAACTCTGTGTTCTTCCCCTCCCACCCCACCCCACCCAACACCACCTTCCTTCCCAATTGCATAATGAGTCTCAGATAGTTCAAGGGGAGGCAAAAATAAGAGTTAGTCCAAATAAATGCATCTTTGCTATTTAAAAGTGGTTTAAAAGTGCTTCTGTGGCTGGGGCAAAAACCTGTGCCACGGAGGCTGAGGTTTAGGGGTGTGGCAGATGCTGAAGTCAGGGTCAGACAAGACACAGGGTCCTTCTCCCTCAGAGACTTGCCTCAAGTACAGACAGCAGGAGGGTGGATAAGCACAGAAAAAAGGTCAGGGTTAGGGCAGAGAACAGGGCTAAGAATTGACCCATGAAAATATCAGCATAAGCACTGGCAGCAGACAGCCCCCTAGGGTCCCTGCCCCTTCCCCAGACCCAAATACCACAGGAAGGCACTCATCTACCACAGGTGGCCCTTCCAACCTTCCTGTAGCCTTATAGCATGTCACAGGGCATAACAAGGAGCTTCCTGCCCACTCAGCCCACAGCATAGCCTAGAATCCTTCATCTGAAACCTTCCAAGCAGAGAAAGTTCCCCAGCCACAGCCTTGAAATCTCTCCTCATGCACAACTCAGCCAAGAATAGAGGGAAAATGGAACCCATTATTTTCATTCTGAATGGCTGGGAAATGGCTTTTGCTTTTCAACATGAAATGTGCCTAAAAATAAGCTGTGAATTTCAACCAGAGGTTGAAAATAGCTCTGCAGTGAACAGAGCTCTGTTCAGAGTGGGCTCAAGGACAGCCTTCATTCCAGGATCTGAGAGCTGAAACACACCAGTCAGGGTCGTGGGCAGGGGGTTTTCCAGGGTGCAAGAAGTGTCAGAAACTCACACGGCTTAGTCAGCTCTACTGGTGTACAAGGGAGAGGATGCAGGAGGGGGTCTGCCTCTCTGGCAATGGTCAGGAATTCAACAACCCACAGCTGGTACCACAGACTTCCTTAGAACCCCCAAATCCCCAGGAGCACCTCAGTGCCAGGGCCCACTGTCTATAGAGCTGAAGCTGGCTAAGGGTCATCAGACTCCTGAGCTCCTAACTAGATGCAGAGCTCAGGGACCTGAGAAGTCAAGTCATGCTCATCAGCCACCAAACCTCTCATCAGATACCATCTCTGAGCCAGGGAAGCCTTGAGGTAGGAAGGGAGAGAACATGCTCCAATTTTAAGGGTACAACATTCCTATAAAATGGGCTTCTGTTAGACATACAGGCTAAGAAATCTTGGCCACAGCTGCTGGCAGGAGCCCAGATTCAGCCCAATTAAGCAGAGTCCTCAACAGGGCTACAAGAATGCCCTTCCTCATTTCCCCCTGCGGAGTACTCCTCTCTCCTCTCCTTGCTCTTCTCATCCCCCCCACCCACTGGCACCCCAAGACAATCCCACCTTATCACCCCTTTCACTGCTAGGTCAGCTTCCATTCTGGGCTCACTTCTGAGGCACGAAGTATTGCAGTGAATGATATTCAGTTGGGGACATCTGACAATTTTTGGTCATCATGAATGTTGGAGTGGGATGCTACTGATATCTAGAGGGTAAAGGCCAAGGATGCTATTTAACATCCTAAGTGGCCAGCCTCCACAGCAAAGAATTATCTGGCCCCAAATATGAACAGTGCTGAAGTGGTACAATCCTGGTTATTGGAAGAATGGAAAGGAGACAGAACTGGGGGGGGGGGGAGCAGGGGACTACTGGACTCATAGTTCATGGGGTATGGTAGTGCTCCTGGGATTCCCTGAGGGGCTGAGATAGCCTGGCCAGCCAGGGAATCTCAGTGACAGGCAAGGCTTCAGCAAAAAGGGCAGGAATACACTCCTCAGCTTCCCTTCCTATCTTGGGAAAAACCTAACCACTGAACAGCATTATAAAAAAAAAAAACTAGCTCACCTCAGTTTGGGAGGGTGAAAAACTTCTGGAGATGAATGTGATGGTTGCACAATGATGTGAATATACTTAATGAAATTGAGCTGTACACTTAAAGTCGTTAATATGGTCAATTTTATGTTATATATATGTTCGTACATACGCATGTGTATAAAATCACAACAAAACAAACACCCAAGCTCTGGTCTTCCTTGTTAGAGAAGCCTCATGTGGTATGTTTGACCAGGGCTTATGAACAGAGAAAAGCCCACCCATTTGTTCAGAATCTCAAAGGTGGCTAATGATAAGCAAGCAAAGAGCCCTGATCTCAACCAAGAATGATTATAGGATTAAGGATCACTTCAGGGGATAGCAAAAGCTCATCTTCATTATCCATGGGGTCCTCAGAGTCTGCTTGTGGGGGTGTTCAGGACTGAAGAAATGGAGACTTGGGAAGAGTGGGTACTTTGCTGGGGTCACAAAGCTGGAGTTCAAACCGAGTTTTCTGACTCCAGATCCCATATCCTGTCCCCTATTTATCTCCCCCGTGGAGGTATGCCCAGTGGGTAGAGTTGTAAAAACAGCTCACATGTGCACCTGAAGGTAGTCTGGGAACAATCAGTTGTCTTGAGCCCTGCTGAGCTATTCACCCACCCATGCCTCATCCTGTCATGCTGGCTTCTCCCAACCCACATGACTTTGCCCCAGATTCTCAGGCTTTGAGGCTTTGGGAAGCAAATGTGTCCATACTCCATTTCTAAGCTAGGATTGAAAAACAAGATAGCTCATCCAACATATTTTCCTAATAACAATAAGAAAAATATGGGATCTCCCTAGTTGGTGGATATTAACCACTCCCAAGAGGCAGATAGCAGTGCCCTCCTAGAATGAGGAAAACCTGTCAGGCAGTTCTCCACTACTTGAAGTTTCTAGCTTGGTTAACCTTGTTCAGAGGAGCTAGCATGACTAAGCCCAAGGTGTCTCACCTGTGAACTGGAGCAGTAACTTTACCCACTCATTCTGATGAGATAAGAAGTGAATAGGGCAGCACATGCAAGAGGCCTTGGCTGTACCTGGTTCATTAAGTGCCCAGTGAACAAGGAATCACAGGAGAGGCACCAGAGGACCCCAACCCTGCAAATGCAAACAACTTTCCAAATGGAAAATAAACTGGCAGCAAGCAGAAGCTCATGCAACTCAGTCATCCCCAACAAACCCAAAAAGCTGAGGACTAAACACTTATTAGGAAACACCAAGGAAGAACAAACCTCCCAGCTCCAGTGACCAGCCTGGAGGGCAATCCTTGAAAGAAAACTGTAAAACTGACAAGGCCTACTCCTAGTGGCAGCCCTAGCACACAGAATAGGGAGTGGGGGTGTCAAGGGTTGGGGAGGGGATCCAACTGCTGGAATTACAAAGCCCTAGGATAGACTCAGGAGGCTTCCTGGTTCTATTCTGGAACCTAGGCCCTGACTTTCTGGGGACTTTGGGTGAGCCACTTCCTGCCGTTTGGGCCAGTTTCTGCCTGTGGCAGTAGGCCACTCTGTCTCTAAGGTCCACTGGGGGTCCAGCCTGTGGCCATAGGAGCTTAAAACCATTGGGATTCTGCAACCACAGCTTTAACATTTCAGTCAAAGATGAATATGACCTTATTTAATGAGACTATATCAGCTTTCATTTCCCCCCAGATATGTGTCAAAAAATACTAGCTATTTTAATTTAGGTACACTGAATATCCTTTTATCAACACAGATACTAAAAATGGTTCATGGAACTTCCTCTCCATGGTTTTTAAAAAGAAGGAAGTGAGACCAAAAGAACTGGGGGCCTTTCCCATTTTGTCCCAGCTGTGGTGGCTTTGGGCCCTGAACCCTCTAGGAACCTCACACCTGGGTCCTGTGGCCCAGGGCTTGGCATGGGACAGAGCCTTTGTTTCCTTGGGCCTCAATCCAGCAGAAGCATGTGCCATGGAAACACTCCCCCACCAAATGGGCCAGGAGCCGGGGCACCTGCAGCTGTTCTCCCCTTTTATATTTCACAAGTTCACTCTAGACTGGAATCAAAGCATCACAAGTGTCAGAGTATTATTTTGTAGATGACCGGATCTTACTAGGGCCCCTTTCCCATGGTCAACCTAAGCACCCAGTCCCCACCATCTCTGAGCCAATGCTGACCCTACCCAGAGTCACAAGGCTCAGATTTGCCTGCCAACCTACTTACCAGATTCCCAGTGGAGGTAGCCAAGGTGGATGGGGGCCGCTGTACTTTTATGACTTCTCCATAATCAACATTATCAAAGTTACTCTTCCAAACCATCACCTGCCAAGACCAATAGGCACAGAGAATGAGAAGAAAAAAAAAAATCACCTTTCCTGCCTCCTTCATTGAAAAAAATGGGCACAGAGGCCATCTCTAAAGTTGTGACCCATGGTGGTTCCCACCAGACACCCCAATTTAATTCTGGGACTTGCTCCATCTTCCTGAGGAGTAGGCTTTTGGAACAGGCCTCAAGAAAACCGGGATGTGACACCAATATGGATGTGCCACTGTGCAGGACTACCAGGCCTTGGCACTGGCTGGGTCTTTCTGCCTAAGGAGGTCACAGAGGTCTCAGCATCAGAGTCAGTAGACATTTAATCCATTTGTCCCTTTTCCTTGTTCATCATACATTTTCCCACTAAAATGAAAGCTCCTGCTGGTGGCAGCTTGGCCTGTTACACTGTGGGAAGTGATGAACATGTGGATTCCAGGTCAGACCACCGGGGTGAAGGTCCTGGGTCCACCCCTTATTGTGAGGCCTAGGTAAGGGAATCAGTCAGTGCCTCAGCTGATGCCTCATGGTACCCAGAGAGTGACACTCATTATTCTAAGACAAAGTTTGGCCACAAAATAAGTGCCCTACTCTGAGTATCTTCCTATAAACAGGATCACGTTGAGCCTCCTTCAATAAAGGTGAGGGAGCTGCTCTGCTGGGGAGCAAGAGCGCTCCCTGCTGGAGGCTTTTGGCCTTATGTAGTTAGATGTTTCTGGGGTCACTTCCAGGAAGGCTGGCTTGGACTTCACAAGAGGAATTGTGGAGCATGGTCAGCAATCAACAGAGGCCACAGAAAAACTACCATATGCACACAAGATGAGTGCTCAACACACCCTAGATACCATCCCTGTTGAGACAGCTATGAGCCTGTTTCTCCTGGAGGCTCCTTACTACTCCCTAAGGAGCTCCACTTGTTACTGCTCCTAGGGAGACAGGCACCTGTGGTCTTTCATTCACATTTTACAGACAGAATACTGACATAGATATGCTCTTGTGTATGGAGTTCTTGTATAATTGTGCATAACTAACTGCTGAATAAATTACTGGGAGCACAGTGGCTAGTACGCGTGCAAAGAAATAATGCCAGATTCAACTCCAAAAAAGCTCATAAAGCAGATTTTAAAAGGCAGCCAAGGAGCTGATGGCTGTGACTGCCTGAGGATGGGATAGAGCAGGTGGAAGGCTTACTTTCCACCAGGCACCCTCTTATGCTATGTGAATTCATTTTACCATGAGAGTTTACTGTACCAGTTCCTGTGTTTTCTAAGCAATGAGCCAGGCATCCATGCTCAGGGAAGCCTCAGGCTTCTCTTTGCTTTCTTCCTCTCGTGGCTGCTACTGTAGGGCTAGGGCAGGGTGAACACCTGTTATCTGATATTATCTAAGCTGTGATCAAAGAGACCCCAGTTACTCTCTGCCTTACTGGCAAACACCCAACCAAAATCAGTACATTTGGCTGGGGCTGGGGCTCATGCAGGACTGACAGGACATGTCCTGGCTAAGCAGCCAAAGCTGTGAGGCCCAGCACCAGTGGCATGAATGTTCTTGGCAATCTACCAGGTCAATGGTGACTCACAGTAGCCATCCTTTCCTCACTACCTCAAGAGAATGCAGTTTTCTGGATAAGAGGCACTGCGCAGGCATTCTGGTGACAGTCTGTGAGGGGTGGACTCCTCAGTGCTCCTGGCCTCCCAGTGCCAGGCTCATTGGTGTATAGCAGTCTGGATAGGAGGCACCAAGGCTGACAGGCGAAAGCCTCTGTGCAAAGGATGATGAGGCGAGATAGGACTTCCTCACAATGTGCTTTCTCTGTAGCCACGGATATTGAAATACTGACCCCCTTAAATACAGCACAAGTGGGCTAGAGAGAAAGGGCAGCAGATGCTGGAGGAGAGGTTCCTAGGGCAGGGCACAGTTCTGAAATCAGGCAGAACCAGTGCCTGTCCCACCTCTTTCATCTGCTGGGACAGTTTCTTCATCTAAAGAATAGGGAGATGAGGGACTGGGGTTGTGGCTCAGTGGTAGAGCACTTGCCTAGCATGCAAGAGGCACTGGGTTCAATTCTCAGCACCACATTAAAAAACAAATAAAAGTATTGTGTCCATCTACAACTAAAAATATTTTAAAAAAAATAGGGAGATAAGAGGATGTGCCCCATAGGGCTATTGTGAGAATTAAATGAGGTCTGAAGTCCTGACACACTGACTGTGTTGCCAAGTCCACAGTGAGGACACAATGATTCTTATCTATTTATCATCAGAAAATGAACTAAAAAACTTCAACTTTTTTATGGCAACAATAGCTCAGACTCCTACTAACCCATGCTAACTTGAGCAGCAAGGGCTTTGAATCTCAATGTCCCACCCTAAGTCTACCAGGGTCTTAGAGAAAGGTTGCTGAAAGCCACCCTGGCCCATCCTCCACGTGGCCTCCAGGCCCCAGTTGGAGGCTCAGACTCTTCAGGTCATTCTTAACTTACCTGTTCATCAGAGCCTCCAGAAGCAAAATACTCCCCTGTTCTTGAAAAGGCAACAGTGGTGGCAGGTCCCTATCAAAACAAATGATAAAGAATAAAGGTCACAGTAGAGTCTAAACATACAGGAAGAAAACTAGCAGTTCTTGAATGAAAGCATCAGCAGGACAAAGGACCAAGAGTCCATTCAGCCCCCAGTTCTCCTCATCCTTTGACTGGGGAGACTGTGTGTGGTCAATGCAAGGGCCACTAATGAGACCTCTGTTTCTGAGCACTTCAATAGGACAAAGGCCAGGCCGTGAGATCACAGGTGGGCAGAGATGAGTAAACAGAGCAGTTTACACTTGCAGTCCTGCCAAGCTAGCATTGTGGTCCTTGCTACCCCAACAAGAAGCTGGAGGTCTGAGAGATGCACTGACTTACCCTAGGCTGCAGAACTGGGCCAGAACTCACCCCTCTGACCCAGGCCAGTCTCCTCCCCAACACTAGCCTGCTACTGACCAGAGAAGTGGAGGCCCCAAAGAGGAGCCAATTACTCAAGTAAATAGTGCACAGTTGGGGACCCAGTTGGCAGGAAGGAGCCTGGAATGGGGATTACTGAAGGTGCCTAGGCAGTGGACTAATGTGACATGCCCATGTAACATGTATGCCATTTTCTCTGAGTTGGGCCTTGGGTGAAAAGGTGCCTGCTCTGGCTTCCCACATGATCAGCATGACCATCTGAAGAGGAATGCCAGCATGTACCAGGTAGCACTCTGAGGGTCATCAGACAGGTCCAGGCTTGCAAGAAGGGCATGATCTCCTAGTAGAGCAAGAAAGTTCTTTTCCATATGCCTGAAATTCATTCCAGAAAGATGAGCCAACAAGAATCTGTTTGGCCACATAACCACAACTGCAACCATCACTTCTTCCCAACTGAACTTTTATTATGACTAGTACCTGGCATTTCCCAAGTAAAACCAGATAAAAGAGGTTTTCTCTTAGTTGAGGGCAGCATAGCCACTGACACAAACCTCAATTCCTCTAGATCACCGCTGGGAGTGACAAGAGCCCCAGCTGCCACTAAGGGGCACTCCAGCAGTGAAGCCTCAGCTGTAGACAAGAGGAACACTTGAAAGAACCTTTCACTCAATGCCAGAAAGGACCAGACGTGGCTTAGGCTGGAAAGGCACCCCTAGGCCATGGAGGAAGTCAGTTTCTGCTTCTCTAGGAGAGTGCCAACCTAGCTCAGGCACATGGGAAGCATGCCTACACATGTTTCTGGAATCCACCTATAGCTCTTCCTCTCAGAGGTGCTCATATAATGGGTGACAAAGAAAAGTGCAACACCAGCTAACACTGGCTCAGAGCACTTCACTGGTATCAGCCCACTTAATCCTCAGAGGACACTTTGTGCATTTATCCTTCCAAGCAGGGCAATGGGGGCAGGGGAACAGTGGATAAGGCCTGAGGACACAAAGGCAAATTTTTACACCTGTCAGCTACCTACCTTCTCCACACAGCCCAGAGCACACTCCCAGAAGACCCAGGAATCCTCAGTTGCCATTAGCCAGGTTAAAGTGGATCTACTTTTACCGATGGTGAACAATGTGCACTAATATCAATGAGCATGAAATACCAGGTGCAAGACATCATGGGCCATGTGACTCCATTTATGTAATGCTGGCTGCAGTGCTGAGCCTGAGTGTGTGGGGGTGGGCCATGTATCACTTGGGTACACTTTCAAGTGGACCATCAGCAAGGGGCTAACAGGGCTGCTTGTGAGAGGTGGTGCAAATTCAGGTTACTTATTGGAAACATTTGCCATTTTCATACTTTAAATTTTTTAATGAGTGTTCAGCATTGCTACAAAATAAAAACAACAAAAATGATTTTCATTTTGAGTAAAAACAAAGAGGAAACAAAGAAAAAGGAATAAAACAGTACATGGAATTTAAAAAAAAAAAAAAAGGGCAGTTGGCTGCCCAGAGTTTGCTGAGTAATGGCAGGTTTCCAAGAAGGAAGAGCAACTAAGGAACTGAAGACTTGTGGGTCACTTTCCTCTCCTGTTATCATTCAACCACCAGATGCCAAGCTGAGAACAAGATGTCAGAAACAGAACACAGCAACAGCAGTAGACCCAATAGAGATTGTGCCCAGCAGCAGGATAGCCAGCGGTCCACAGCTCAGTAGGGAGACTGGAACCAGAGGGCAGGCAGTGGGAGTGCTCCCGGGTAAAACGTGCAGGTGCTTTCCCATGAGACGAAGTCTTGAAATCTCAGGGACAGAGTCAGTGATGGCTGTGCTCTCTGGAGCCCACAGTCCTCCCCAGCAGTGTCCATTTATTTACCAAGAGGACCACAAGGTTCCTACACTAGGCTCCTCCACATCCCCTAAAGACCAGATTCCCACGGAGGCTCCTGCTCATCTGTCCAAAGCCCACGCAAATAGCCCCAGGCATTCAAAGGTCCAAATGGATGACAGTAGTCCCATTAGATTATATCACCTAGTGATGTTGTAGTTCTATTAGTTTGTATTAAGTACATGGTATGATGCCCAATGACAAAATCACCTAACGATGCATTTCTTGAACTTTGCCCCTGTTGTTAAGCACCACATGACTATATAGACAGGACTCTCCAACACTGAAGCCCTTTGGGGCTTGGTCTTCAAGGGGCAGGAGAGCCTAGCCCCTGCCAATCTTGCCAGGCCTTTCCTTTCCCTAACCAATGCTCCAGCTCACCTGACTGACCACTTGCTATTCCTCAAGTGCTGAGCTAGAAAAGATCTTCCCTTTCTGAGTGCTCTTCTTTTCATAGCCTCCTGCACTGAGCTCTTTATTCAGTGAATTTCACTTCACGACGCTCTTCCGATTTTTTGATGCTGGGGATTGAACCCAGGGCCTTGTGCATATGAGGCATACAGTCTACCAACTGAGCTATATCTCCAGCCCTTCATTCATTGAATTTTAGTCTTTCTTCATCTTAAATAAATTCACTCAGGCTACAAATTTGCCTCTGATGACCATCTTTGATAAATCTCAGAAGTTTCTAGTATGCGATGTTTTCACTGTCATTCCCTTGCAAATGTTTAGTTTCCATCCTGAGTTCCTTTTTAGGCCACTAGTTATTTGCAAGTGCAGTTTCTAAACTAAGGGGGATTGGGATGTGTCTGCTTATCAGTGCCAGAGATCAGATAAGATATGATCTTTAAGACTGTTCTGTCTTCATGGTATCCTATTTTTTTATTTTTTAGTGATATTGTTTTGGGGTACCAGGGATTGAAATCAGGGGCACTCAACTGCTGAGCCACATACCTAGCCCTATTTTGTATTTTATTTAGAGATTATGCCCAGCAGCAGGACAGCCCAGCGGTCCACAGCTCAGTAGGGGGATTGGAACTCATTGAGTTGCTTAGGACCTCGATAAATAGCTAAGGCTGGCTTTAAACTCACAATCCTCCTGTCTTAGTCTCCCAAGCTGCTAGGATTATAGCCATGTACCATGTACCAGACAATACTGGGGATTGAGCCTGGCAGTTCTTTGTGGCTGAGTTATATTCCCAGCTTTTTACTTTTTGAGACAGGATCTCATTAAGTTGCCTGGGCTGGTCTTGAACTTGTGATCCTCCTGCCTCAGCCTTCTAATTCACTGACATTACAGGCATGTGCCACCATGCCTGGTTCCTTTCATTTAATTAGTTACCAGGCAGGGTTGTTGCCAAGTTCTTTCTTTCCACAGGCCAGGTGCCTTTCAGAGGCATGAGACTCCATACAAATCTAGACAGCTCTGTTTCTATAGGGACTTCTTGGTATAACCTGAGCAGTGGCTCTCGGCTGAACCTTCACTGTGGCTCCTGCCTGTCCTGAGCACCCAGGGGCCCACTTGATGAAGCCTCATCCCTGTCAGACTTCCTCACCAGGTTCTTGGGTAGGAATGCTTTACAGGGTCAATCAAGGCCAGCCCCTTGATGGACCACTCAAGTCTTTTATGAGATGATCCTATTTACTCTATCATGAGCACTGAACACACCTGGTGTCCACCCTACTCTCTTCCCAACCCTACTACCCTTAGGCTTGGCTGGACCCACACCAATCATTTTATTATACACTTCTTTTCCCTTGCCAGTTTTCAGACTCAAGGGAACAATGCTGTCCAGTTCTTTTTCATGCAAAAAGAAGAAAAAAGGAGCCCATGATAACTAGAAGATTAGACTGCAGAGTATGACTATCACTCAGCTCCTCCCAGGAGCCTCTGCAAGACTCTCTACTTTCTGCACCCTCCCACCTGACTCGATGAGGCCTATACATTCCTGAACTCGGACCACTTTGCCCACAACGGCCATGCTGGCAAAAGTCTAGCCAGGTACCTCACCTACCAACCTCATAAGAGCTGAAAAATATTTTTCACTGGCTTTCATATGCACATGTCCTTTGAGGTCACAGGTAAAAGAAGAGTGGCCATCAAACAGACACAGAGACCAAGGTGGACTAAGAATCCTCTGGCATGGGGTGCTCTGGCCTCTACCCCCGTGTTCAAGCAAAGAAAGTGCAACCCAACCTACCAAGTTACTCTTCCACAAACCCCCACCAGGGGCTCCTGCAATCAGCTGTGGGGTCCACAGCGCTATTGTGATTTAGGCTCTTATATCTGAGTGGTGGCCGATAGGGTCATCACAACCTAACAAACAAAACAAGGACTGCCCTCTGTGCGAGAGGTGCTGCCCAGGCTCTTTCCCAAACCTGTCCCAAAACACCTGCTCCCAGCTCTCAACTCTGAGTTGCTGGCAGGGCACAAAAGGCCAGGCTGACTCCAAGTTATTAGAGTAGAATAAATGAGCTGATCTCTCTTTTTGTGTCCCCTCATCTCTCAAGTGGGTCCAACCATCCAAACTAGGTATGATCCTCCTGAAAATTGAAATAATCCTCCAAAAATGAGACGACTGGAGTGCTGGTGATAGAGTTCAGTTGGTAGAGTGCTTGCCTCACATGCACAAGGCCCTGGGTTCAATCCTCAGCCCCCGCCCTGGTGGAAAAAAAAAAAAAAAAAGAACCCCCAAATAAGATGATTTGGACAAGAGCTATAGAGTACTCCAAG